CCCCTACACTTCACCCCTCATTCACCCACATCCCCCTCCCTCCGTCATCCCCCAACTCCACCCCCTAATACACCTCCCCCCCCTTATCCACCTCATACCACCCTCAGCGCTCACAACTTCCTCCCCCTCCACCACCTCATACCCCCTCCCCACCCACCCCTTCATCCCACCTCCCACTCACATCAACCCCTCCCACTCACCTCCTCATACTCCGCCCCCTCACCACCCTCCACTTCAGCCCTCACACTCCACCCCCCACCTCATACCACCCTCCCCCCATCCCACCCCTCAACCCGCCTCATACCATCCCTCATACTTTCCCCTCCTACTCCACCCCCCTTATACCACCCTCATACACCACCTCCCACTCCACCCCTAATACCACCCCACCCCCTTCATCCCACCCCTCCACACCCTCACCACCAACCTCAATACCCCACCCCCTCATCCACCCTCATTCACGCCCGCATTCCACACACGCGCCACTGCAGCGCGATAACAGGATCGAGCAAGTCCGAAAAAATAATGAGAAGAAAAGATGCTTGTTCGACGCCCACGGCAAGGTAAACCGCCCAGCCCTTCCTTCTCCTCCATCCCACCCCCGCCCTTCCTTTTTTTTCTCTTCTTTTCCTCTTCTTCTTTTTTCTTTCTCTTCTTCCTTTCTTTCCTTTTTCTTTTTTCTCTTTTTTCTCTTCTTTTCCTTCTTTCTTTTTTTCTTCCTTTTTTCTTTCTTTCCTTTTCTCTTCTTCTTCCTATTTCTCTTCTTTCTATCTTCTTTCTCTCTCCCTTCTTCTTTCTCCTCTTTCTTTCTTTTTTCTTCTTCCTTCTCTCTTCCCATCATCCTCTTCTTTATTCCTTTATTTTATTTTTCCTTTTCTTCTTCTTTTCTTTTCTCCTTCTTCTCTTTCTTCTCTCTTCTTCCTTTCCTTCCTTCTTTCTTTCTTTTTTCTTATTTCCTATTCTTTTTTTCTTCCTTCTTTTGCTCCTTTCTTCTCTCTTTCTTCCTTTTCTAATCTTCCTTTCCTCTTCCCTTATTCCTTTCTTTCTTTCCTTCCTTTCTTTCTCTTTCTTCTCTCCTCTTCCCATTCCTCTTTTCTTTTTTCTTTATTTTATCTTTCTTCTCCTTTGTTTCTCCTTCCTTCTCCTTTCTTCCTTTCTTCCTTCTTCCTTCTCTCCTTCCATGTTTCACTCCTTTCTCCTTTCTTCCCTCTATTCGTTCTAAGACGTTCTCTCCTTTCCATCGTTCCTTCTTCCTTCTTCCTTCTCATTTCTCTCTGTCTTTCCTTCTACCTTCCACCGTTCTCTCCTTTTTTGTTTTATCGGTTTTTTTTTCTATCGTTCTCATCACTCGCTTTCTCTTCCAACATTTCTATCATTTTTTTTTCCTTTTTTTTCTTTTTTTTCCTTTTCCTCTCCCCACTTTCCTTTCCACTCTTTCACTTTTCCATAGTTCTCTTTTCCCTCCTTTCTTCTCTTCCTTTCATCCCTCTTTTTTTTCTCCCTTTCTCCTTTCCATCATTCTCTCCTTTCCTCTTTCTCCTTTTCTTCCCTCTATCCTTCTCCCTTCTACCCATATCCTATCCCTCCTTTATTCCCTCCTCCTCTTTCCCTTCTCCCTCCTTCTTTTCTTCTCCCTTTCCTTTCCCCCCTCTTTCGTTTCTTTTTCTCTCCTTCTCTCCTCCCTTTCCCTTTCCCTCTTCATCGTTTCTCTTTCTTTCCTTTTCTCTCTTCTCCTTTCTTTTTCATTTAATTATCCCCTTTTTTCCTATATCCTTTTAAACGGAATCTTCCTCCTTCTTATATTAACTTGACTATATCCCTTCTCCCCTTTTCTCTTTTCCCTTCTCCTTATCCCCTCCTTTACCTTCTTCTTCCTCTCCCCTTATCTTCCATTAATCTCCTTCTTCTTTTCTTCTCTTTTCCTCCCTTCCCCCTCTCTTCATTAATCTCCTTTCTTTTCTTCATCTCCTTTTCTCCCTTTCCCCTTCTTCCTCTTCTCCTTCCATCCCCCCATTCCCTATCTTCCCTACGTTCTCCAGCCCCCTCCCTCCCTCCCCCCCCCTCCTACGCCCCCGCCTGACCCCGGTCCAGCGTAAAACGTGGACAAGGAAAACCCCGTTATAAAAGAACCACTTCCTTCTCTTTATCGTAGCAGTTGTTAAGTTGTTGTTTTTTCTTTGTTTTATTTTTTTTTTTTTGTATTTTTTAATGTTTTTTTTCTTCCTTTTCTACCCGATAAAGGGGAGGGTAAAAGGGAGTTGAAATAGCAAGACATCCTTAAAGGAGGGAAGGGGGGAGGGGGGGGGGAGGGGGGGGGGAACTTACGGCGTATTGCAAGCAAAACGCGTTTTCGAAGCGGGGAGGCGGGGGGGGGGGAGGTCATGCAGGAAGGAGGAAGGAGGGTGGGAGGAGGAGGTGGAGGAAAGGAGGAGAGGAGGAAGTGGAAAGGAGGAGGAAGAGGGGGGAGAGGGGAGGAGGAGGAGGGGAGAGGATGCAGGAAGGAGGAGGAGGTGGGAGGAGGAGGTGGAAGAAGGGGGAGGAGGAGGGAAAGTGGGGAAGGAGGAGAGAGGGAGGGAGAGGGGGAGGAGGAGGAAAGGGGAGAGGGGCAAAGGAGGAAGGAGGATGGGAGGAGGAGGTGGAGGAAGGGGGAAGGAGGAAGGGAGGGAGGGAGAGTGGGAGGAGGAGGAAGCGTCAGCCAGGAAAGGAAGGGAAGAGGTGGAAGGAAAGGGGGAGGAGGAGGAGGAGGCGGGAAGGGGAGCCAGGAAGGAGGAAGGAGGTGGGGGAGGAGAGGGGGGGATAGGAGGAAGGGAGAGGGGCAGGAGGAGGAGGAGAAGGTGGGAGGAGGTGGAGGAAGGGGGAGGAGAAGGAGGAGGAAAGGGGGGAAGGGTCAGCCAGAAAGGAGAAGAGGGAGGGGTGGGGAGAGAGGGAGGAGGAGGAGAAGGAGGAAGAGGGAGTAGGAGAGGAAGGGAGGAGGAGGAGGAGGAGGAAGGAGGGGGTCAGCCAGGAAGGAGGAAGGGTAGGGGTGAGGAGGGAGAGGAGAAGGAGGTGAGGAGTGGAAGGAGGGAGGAGGAGGTGGAAGGAGGGAGTGGGAAGGGGTCAGCCAGGAAGGAGGAGGAAGAGGGAGGGAGAGGGGGAGGAGGAAGGGAGGAGGAGGAGGAGGGGAGAGGGAAAGGGTAGGAGGAAGGAGGAGAGGAGGTAGGGAAGGAGGAGGAGGAAGGTGGAAGGGGATCAGCCAAGGGAAAAAGGAAGAAGGAGGAGGAGAGGGAGAGGAAGGAGGGTGGAGGAAGGGAGGAGAGGAGAGGCTGGGAGGAGGAGGAGGAAGGGAGGAAGGGAGAGGGGTAGGGTCATCCCCGCCTGCTGGAAGAGGTCACCCGAGTCACGCCGTCATTATTGCAAGTCTGAACGCGTGGTCGCCAAGAACGCAAGCCGACCTGACCGCGAATCCTCTGCATGTTGGAACGTGTTTTTGGACGTCGACTCAACATCCGGGACTCGGGGTGATGAGTCAGCGATGAAGATGGCGATAACAACAAACAGAGCGAATAACCCTTGTTGCTGATCTCTTTATGCATCTGTAGTTGTGCGTCCAAGCAGACTGTCCCTTTGTTGTCTCTCTCTCTTTGTCGTCTATATCTAGGAGGATATATATATATATATATATATATATATATATATATATATATATATATGATACATATATATAATATATATTATTATATATAGTATCTATATATTGTGGTGTGATATATATATAATATATATATATATTATTATATGTAATATATATGTATATACATATATAATATATATATATATATATATATATATATATATATATGTATAATGTAATATATATACAATATAATATATATACATATATATATATATATATATATATAC